TTCATTTGTGATTCAGTGCTTGCTTTTTACTGGTATTGTTGGTTCTGGAATATTTTCTCTCCGTAAATTATTTACCCATACTCTTTCTAGATTGCGTTTGGCTTACGTGATCGTAGCGTACTCGGTTAAGTCCTATGTTTAATCTTTTGTAGAGAAAAGTTAAAGAGATAGAGACGCTAGAAGAATCATCAAAAGAATAGGAACATAGAGAAAATAAGTTTAAGGCTGTTGCATAAGAGTTATATTGACTTAGCATATGCCTCAATATTAGGTTCTCTGTCTAAGCCTCAATATTAGGTTCTCTCTCTAGAGTAGACTCTCTATCTTGTGCTAAGACATAGTCACATATTTATGAAAATTATTCTAATGGAAGATTTGGTATAAAAGTAGTCATTGTCTTACTTTATTAAATTTTTTGTTGCACCACAGTAGTGCGAATATAAACTGTTTGAGAAAATTTTTCTTTGAAGTTGCAGCTCACTGACAGTCGGCAAACATATTGATTTAGCTAGCAGACAATATTTTCTTAAATACAATTAAATTTATTTTTGAACTTTTAGGTATTATCTAAAAATTTAAAATATCATCTAGGCTAGTCATGTCAGAATTATCTAAACTTGAAAAACTCAATGAGACCAATTTTTGTATGTGGAAAAGAAAAATTGGATATATTCTTTTCTATGATAGGGTAGATTATGTCCTAGAAATAGAACCATGAGTTTTAGAACCTAATGCCAATGGTTAAGCTAGAAGGCGACTTGAAAAATGGTTATAAAATAATAAAGTAGCTAGGACTAGTATACTGAGCTTTATGGAAGATGATTTAATTAGAGTTTTTGAGGATCACACCACAGCTCAAAGTACGATGGGTGCCATATATGAAAAGTATGAGACCACTTCTGCGACCCATGTGCAATTGTTGTTAGAAAAATACAATTCTTGTAGAATGAAAGAATCAGATTAAGTGACTGAACATGTCAATAAAATGACAGTGCTCACAAAGGACCTTGCTGCAGCCTTGAATCCGGTCCTCGATCGCATGCAAGTGTCCATTGTTCTTAACAGTCTCCTTCCATCTTGGGTGTCTGTTGTAGTTGCATTGAACCATTTTGTACAAGGGATAACCTTATTAAATCTTCCCCTGCATCTCAGTATTGAAGATGATAGAAGAATGATGAAGAAGTCAAATGAGCTCCATTTTGCACAAAGTTTTTCTAAATTTGTTTTTTATACTTTTTTATAGGTGCTTGAGGGTGAACAATATATAAAAACCAAATATATTGATGCATGTGAAAAGTATAAAAGCCGAAGATATTACCCCGATTTGATATATAAAAAGTAAAAATAAAATTAAAATAGTTAGACTTGCTCTCACTTTATCCAAATGTTTTTTCTTTTAATGTGATATGAAGTGTCAAATTCGTTTGACCAGCCATGGATGAGCAATGATTTCGAAATCTCATTCATTTAACAAAAATTACCATATCATTAACGAAAACATTAATAAATGGTAGAAATCAGCTGATCTTCAGATCTCCTAATTTATGAAATTTCTGTTTAAACCAAATATAGCTTTCTAAAATCCCCATAATTCTGGACTAGTTAACCAAAAACAGTATTTTCTATTACCATGTACTCAATTTATGCCTTGGAGATTTCATGATTAGAAATCTCCGATTCTAATTGCAGGCTCCACTTGCCAAATGCCTCCCAAAAGCATGTAATAATTACTCTTTTTTTCCAAAAAGTATCTTTCATTTTCTTGAAAAAAAAATACAATATTTCAAGATAGATTTGGTTTTTACGCATTAGATGATGCAATATATGAGCGAGATCTCCAGTCCATTTTAGATAGACGGTGGATGCGTCCAAGGACATAGTCCAATGACCACGTCCCCATTTACCAAAGGCTATTCCTTGTTCCTTCTAAGTAGGGGTAGCAATGGACCCAACCCGAACCTCGGGTCCAGGTATAAGTCCAAAATTTGGGCCCAAAAAGTTGGGTTCGAGTCCAAAACCTGGACCCGAATACTATTTACATATGGGTCTAGATCTAGGTCCAACCGGACCTGACGCGAAAATTATGAGTGTACAGGGGTATTCATAAATGTTGTCAATATGTTTATTTTTTAGTGTTTTCTAGTTATTACGTAAAATAGTAAGGTATATATGGTCATTCATAAATGTTGTGCAATACTATAAATGTTGTCAATAATATAGGTAGACGATAGTAAAAAAAGGCAAAAATAAAGAAGAAACCATAGTCAAAGCCCACGTGTCTCGCATAAACATTAGGGTGGCAATGGATCCAACGGGTAGACCCCACCTCAAGTTCGAGTATGGGTCCAAATTTTGGACCTAAAAGGTCAGGTCCGAGCCCAAAACCTGGACCCGAATACTATTTGATTCCGGGTCCAAGTTTGTCGAGACCCAACCCATTTGCCACCCCTACTTCTAAGATTCCCTTGAGAAAACGGCAACACCTTTGATGTGACTATTAGTATGTCCAAACATGCCTTTAGGATAAATTATCACTAAAAAAAAACAATCACCTCTAAAGCTTGTTTTGGTGGTCAATTCAGTTTACTACTTACCCTGAAATTGATCATCTCGATCTTGAGATAGATGTATGGATATGAAAGATACAATCAATTTTAGATGTATATCTAAAATTTCCAGAGTCTTAAAAGATACAATCAATTTGCACCATTTTTAAACTTTAAATTTCATATTGAGGGATAAAAGCAAGGGAAAAGTAAACAATTGTTTTTTATGTTGAGGACTCACCGATTGACCATCTCGTCTTCAAGACGTTGGATATAAGAAAAAAGAAGAAGAAAGATTTTAAGTCTTGAAAATAGTGTATCTTGTAACGCATTATATGGACCACTCATTTGTAAGATTTATTTTTAAGTGTTTTATAAATTTGCACCAATTTTGGATCTTTAAATTTCATAATTATGGGTGGAAATGAATTTTTAGATCAACATAAAAATCAATGCAAAAACTACATTTTCCAATAGGAAAAAGTTTATATAAGTGTGAGGCTCTAAACAATCAAATTAGGGCGCACCTTAAAAATTTCACTAGAAGTGGTTGTTTTGATGCCCAAATGTCATCAAATTGATCATCTCGACCTCAAGATACATGGACAAGGGAAACAAATGGATTTTAAGTTTTGGAAATAGTACATCTTGTAATGCATTTTTGGACCGTCAATTTTCAAGTTTTCATAGATCTGCTCGATCTACACTATTTTTTAAGCTTTAAAATTTATAATTAGAGATGAAAATATATTTTAAAGCTATCACAAAGATTTCCAGTATTACCATATTTCTCGACATTATTTGAAAGTGCGCTTTACTTTGATTGTTTAGAGCCTTAGCTTTATACAAACCACACCCTTTCCAATATGGTTCGAAGGAGTATCTTACTTTGACTGTTCAAGGTGCGCACCTTATACAAACCTCACATAAAAATAAATTCAAGGCAATCATAAAATTTTCAACACAGGCCACACCTTTAAGAAATATTTGGAATAGTGCTGATCTAGAATGAAATTGGCCGATCCGGGTCAGGTATTGGTTGGAAGAATCTAGTTCACGGTTGGAACTGAGAATTGACTTGTTCTCACATTTTTTAATGGGTGTGGTTTCTATAAGGTTGTAACCTTAAACAATCCAATTAAGGCGCACCTAAAAAATTTATCATAACATGTAATTTTAGTATAAATAATTATTTGGATTATCTAAAAAATCATATTTTCATATCTAATAGTAAAATTTTAAACTCAAAAAATGGTTGAAATCAAGTAGATTTATAGACATATGAAAATTTTGAAAATGGACGGTCTAGATAATGTGTTCCAAGATGCACTATTTATGGGACTCAAAATCTTTTTTTTTCCCCATATTCATACATGTCATTGTCGAGATGATTAATTAGAGGGTTTTTTAATATTAAAACAATATTTTTTGATAGATTTTTGAGGTGCATATGTAGTTCTCTTGCAACCTTTTGTTAACTTTTTCCTTTTTAAAATTTTTCCAATTTTTTCTTTTTGTGTACATTATGATTTATTTCTTGTTGGTTGATTCACTCGACCGGATTACTGCCAATCCATATCGATGATCTGCTGATGCAAACTGATTTCCCAACCCTTCACCTAACAGATTTGGGTTTAAAGGTTTTTTGATTGCTGAAGGCTAGTGAGGTTTAGGCTATTGGATTGCATTCAAATATTTGAATATTTTATTATTAAAGTTTTAAGTGATTCATCAATAATTTAATAACCAAAGAGAAAATACATATTTGAGAGGTTAAAATCCTATCATCAAAGTTCAAAATAAAGGCCTCAAGTCTATATGGATCCGGTTTCTATGCGGCCAAGCCCACATATGTAGAAATGTACGTTTTTTATATAAATCTATTTTTATGATGGACTTTAAAATTTAAGTTTGAAAGATATGTAATCTCTAACATGAAGATCATGAATATAAAAAAATAAAATAAAATTTAAATATTAAAAAAAATAATTTTGATAAAAAAACATTTAGACGGTTAGTTTCCATTGTTTCTAGATGAAACACCTACTTGTATCCATCTCTAAGATAGATGCTATCTACTTTCTAGATTGTAGAAGTGCGGTTTTGTCGGCATTTAGCAATTTCCCAATCTATATTTCACAAAATTAAAGTAAAATTCAAGTACTACTTGAATTTTGTAAAATACAATATTAACTCTCAAAGTTTGTTAAAGAAAAGAAAAAATATTATATAAAATAACTATTTATTTTTGGTATATGGAGGTCACTCGTCCATCAGATTTAAAATCTGGTGGTTGTGGGTGTAATCGAATTTATAATACGAAAGTATTTATCTTTGTTACTGGGGGTCACGGATGCTTACAGCCATGTGATTTCGAATTCGACAGCTTGAATTGTTTTAAAAAATTCAAGATTTGTTTTTTTTTTTTGAAGTTTTGACCTAGTGAATGACACTCCCTCTCTCTTCAAAAGCCCTACATTCACAGGTTTTTCTCGCTCCTCTCTCTTCCATCTGACTCGTTAATGCCTTCGAGCCTGTACGGGCTTTGAGCCTCTTTCAAGCATTTAGAATCGATTAATATCGGGAAAAAACATGCGCAGTTCATGGAGTATTTTGTGAAATAAGGCAGAGTCTCAAAGGGGATCTCTGGTTAATGTCTTCTCATCCATGGCTATTCGCTTTCTCTGAAATCTTCTCTGTTCCCAATGTTTCTGAGGTATGAATCTTGTCGTGGTTGATTGGGTTTAGAGAGAGCTTAGCGGGAACGGAGAGAGATGTTGTAATGGTTAATGGGCTAAAGGAAAAAACACTGCGTTTTTGGGTTTTTCCTCTTCAGTAAAATAAAGGAATGACATTGAAGTCTTAATGTGTGAATGCTTTATTTTTCTCCGTTGTCGTTCCACTCCCATTCTATTTTCTTATGTGTTTTTTATTTTTTGCATTTTTTATAAGAACTTTTAGTTAGATACTCTATTCCGACACTTTTGTGTTTTGAACAGCTCTGAAAACAGGGTTGAGCTTGGATATATTCATTCAAAATGTTTGGATTTGTTTGAGCACTAGTGTGTTTTCTGCTCACAATGTGCTCGAACAAATGATATAAAGAGAGAGTCAAACAGGTACGAAAAAATATATGTCAAGATACTATATAATCCAAAGACCAGCAATGCATATTTTCAAAATTTCAAATATCTGAATATTGAAATCCTGAGATGTGCCTCGTTTTGATTGTTTAAGACAGTCCTTAATGCCCCTTTTCATGTAACAAGCACTTGTAACAGAACTTGGCAGTTTTGAGAAGCCTTTTTTATCTCGGATCAAATTCCCCCTTCAAGTTTAAAAGAAGATAACAAGAAAATGGAGGCATTGGGGTGGTGGCTGATGCTTGTTGGCGCTCTTCGCTTAGCCTCTGTTTGGTTCGGCTTCTTTAACTTATGGGCTCTTACGCGCGGTGTCTACTCTCTCTCCTCAAGTATCTTTCTTCTTCTTATTTACTCCTTTTTTTTTTATTGTTCTCTCACATTGTTATTTTCATTACGTTTCTCAAAAATATATCCATCAGGTGCTGCCCATTTCCACACCACTCTCTGTTTTTGAGTCATGTTTCTATAAATGTTGATTTTGTTTGTCTAATCAGTGGTTCATTGATTTTATTTTTATTTTTTATTATCAATTGCTTTGTTATTGACGTTCTTTTTTCTTTGATCTTTACATCAATGCGTTACTTATTATGTAGCTTTTTTTTCTTTTTCTCTTCATGCATTTGGGATTATTCTGCTTTGCCTTTTGGATTGAAGCGCTGCTTATTGATGATGATGCATAGTCAAATCTTCGTGATTAGATTGAGAGAGGTTGCTTTTTTTGACATGGATTCGTTGGTTTTTTGTTCTTTCTAGAATCAATGATGGAATTTTATGACTACATCTGCGACATCTAAGCTTTTAATATTACCTTGGATTCATTTCTCATTTGTTTTTCGAATAGCAATGTTACTTCTGACTTCATGAGATAGACTGCAATAAAGATTTCTATGAATTTGGGGGTCATCCATGTTTTAAGCTGGGTTTAGTTTTTCTTCCTTGATGATGGTTTCTCTGGGCTTGAAGCCAATATGTGATTTGGTAGGTTGGGGCTTGGTAGTGATGTCCTTGAAGGTTATAATGGAACGAGTGTGATATTTTTTGTTGGGTGGGGGCTTACTTTTGCTTACTTAGTATGATGGAAGTTTGGATTAGATGGAAATATTTGACTATACTAATTTTTTTTTTTTGGTAAAATATGTGACTTCATTATTCATTGCTGGAAATGTTTAATGGCCTCTATAGAATGTGGGTCTAATTGGTTTTTGGGCCATATGGTATTTGTTAGGAGGGTTCAGATTGATTGCTAGGCATGTTGGGTGTTTATGCTTGATGGAAAATGTAACTTTAATATATCATTTCTAGCACTGGTTAATGGCTTTTATGGAGTGTGGGGCTAATTGGTTTCTGGGTCAATTGGTTTTGCTTGGTGGGTTTACATTTGATTCCTACGCATGGTGGGTGTTTATGTGAGTTGACTTTGTCAATCGAAATGATGTTGTTTTGGTAATAATGTTGTTGAAGGCTCTTAGGGAGTGTTTCTCTGATTTGTTTTCTTTGGCGGGTTTAGGTTTTATTATAAAGTATCTTGGGTTCTTGACTGGAGGGAAATATGTGAGTTTAAAGTATTGTGACTGATATAGTTAAAGGTTCCTATGGAGTGTGCAATCAAATTGTTGTTTAATGGGCTTTGGTTCTGTTAAAGGTTCCTAGGTAAATGATTGAATGTAAGACCATTTATTTCTCTGGGAAGGCTCAGGTTTGATTCCAAAGTTTGTTGGGTGTTTGGACATGATGGGGTGTGGAGATACATGATTCTACTAAATGATTGTTATTGATATTATTGTTGAGGATTGTATACCGAGTAACCAACTCTTTGAAATAGATAGTGGGGCCTAAGATTTGGGAGAGTATTCTCTCAAAAAAAAGACTTGGTAGAGTCTTGTTTGATGGGTTAGAATTGGCGTTCTAAGCATTTGAGCTCCAGCTATAGCCATCCTTTTTGGACATGTTTGGATGGACCACGAAATGGGAGTTCCTCCATTTTCAAAGATGCTGGTGTAGGAACTCATTGGCAACATGTTTGTTCCCCTCCCATTTTGAAGCTTGGCTGAAAACTGCTTGGAAGTTGACTAAATAAAAATAGGCTTGATGATACCAAAAAAAACAAAGAAAGAAAGAAAGAAAAAGAAAAAAGTAGCCTTGGGGACAAAATAACGTGTTTTGCCCATATTCTTGAATGTGGATATGAGTACATCTATGGGGTTGGTCGTCCTCGGTTTTCTTTATATTGCATTTTATTGCGCGGATAGTGGTTGGATCTGATTGGTAATTCCAAGGTTTCTCCCAATGGATTTAGTTGTGATGGAAACTACTAATTTTTTGAGTTTTTGGGGAGTTCCCCGGTAACTATAATGACAGCGATCCTCTTAGTGTGGACTATGTGCACGATGGATATGGCACCTCGGTTTCTGTGCTCCTATACTTGAAAGTGACCGCCTCTTTAGTATATTAAGAGAGCATTTATTGGTTTCAGATTGAGATATAATAGGTGGGATGCTTTTCCATTTTTCTCTTACATTTATAATTTGGCTTTTGGGCCTGAAGCATATTTAAAAATTGGAGTTTCCCAGTCATTGATGTGCATAATCAGTTAAGAAAAAAGTCTCAAATTTTATGAAGCCATATTTCATTAATTTGTGCAATTATGAAAAGTTCATGTCTGATATAATTGCTCAAGTTGCAAGAGTTCAGTTGTTCTTTGAAGACAGTATGAATATAAAAGAAGGTAGTAACATAGGAGATGTACTATCTCTTAATACTTCATCTAGAGGTGTAAATGGAGTGCTTATGAAATATGAACAAGTAGCTTCCTTTGTACCATTGGAGTTAGTCTTTGGGCAATGGTTTCCTTAAATAGCTAGCAATTGATAATTAGGCTTGACATTACAAGATTACATTATGCAAAATTAACCAATCAATGAATCAAAGTAATATTAATATATTTAGCACTAATAGAGAACACTAGGTTGCGGCCAGGTATGTGGTTCTGAAATTGTGTTATTATCATAGTATAAGAGAATAGGCCCCTCAAGGGGAGCATTAAGATCCCTAAAGAGAAAATGTCTTTGTATCTTCTGCAACATTTGAAGCAATTCTGTGTTTCTTACTATAAGAATCTTTTGCCACCTAGAAGAGGACAAATTCCTGGCATTAGACTGTCAATTGTCAGGGATTCCTGCCCAATCATTCTACGAAAAGGCCATAAAATCAATGGAATTTGATAGAGTAGCCATATTGTCATTTCTATTGCGGTTTTCTGCAAAAAGATTATTACTGCCCCTTTGTTTTTATGAGTGAAAGAATCTGTTCTCACATTGTCAAATGTGTTTGGTAGCTTCTTGGTAATTTTTAGGGCATTACATAATGGACTGCAAAGTAACAGCATAAGCATCAATAAAATAAATTTAAGAACATAAGCAATACATGGGTGCATGATTTTGAGATGCGTAAAACGCTATGATTGCTGCTATTGTTCGTGGATTTCAAGAGGGTATACCTTATTACATGAGGAACTTATATGATGCTAACTGGCATATTGGTTTAGGATTGAAAGTATATGAAACTTCTAATCTGAGGAAAGAGCAAAGGGCTGGGGTTTCAATTCTTTCATTTCAAAGTAAATGTTAAGAACTTTTTATCAAAAAAAAAAATGTAAATGTTAAGAACTTACAATAGGAGCCAATGTTTTAAAAACCGCAGATCCGGATAGGGAATTAGTGATCTGGAATAGGAATCGGTGGGGACCAACCGGGTTCCTAGTCAGTACCAGGAATCGGTTTGATTTTGATAGACCCTACCATTTTGTCAGAGACCTAGGCAAGTCCTTCATGGATCCCGGCAATCCGGTTCGTCCAAATTGCCCAGTTCGCCCCCATCTTAATTTGTTATTATTTTTAAATTTTTAAAATTTCCAAACTTAAAATTTACTATTTAAATTATTTTGAGACTGATTCCCATACCGAGAATCGGTAAGATCTTGATCAGTCCAATGGGTAATCGATCTGGCCTCCCGATTTGGGTTTAAAACATTGGTAGGAACTGCTTTTGGCTTCATCTACTGTAAAATATCATCCATATACATCGAAATACCCAAACAGTCAAGGAATACTTGACTGACATGGAGCTATGTGCTCAGTATTGCTTAAATTTAATTGCTAGAACAGGCAACTTTCTGCTTTCAAACCAAGCCCAGGAGGTTTGTTTCATTATACATAGCCCAAGAGAAATATATGCCAGAGAAACTACGTAGTTGTTTATTCGGGAAAAAGTATGTGATAGTTTTTCCCATTAGACAACTACTCTCTATAAGGGGACTCGAATCGCTTATCTTTTGAAATAGAACTGAGAATGGTAGAATACAACATGGTTATTGCATTCTTATCTGTATGTCTGGATTTCCTAACTGTAGGTGCCAAGAGGAGCTACTTGCCTTATCAGGTGATAACTTGTTCTTGATACGTGCTTCAAATGTGGAAATCTGGTAGTTGTGGAGAACACATGCATTCCTGTCTTCCATTAGTTGTGTACTGCCTTGTTTTTAGGTCCTTCACAAAAAGGTCCCTTAGTGCAAGCTCAGACTCAGGAAAATAGTCAACTTGCTAGAATTCTTGATGCTTTGACCAAATTAATTGTTTGACATCTGAGTAGGCGTATACATACAAGATAATTTCTTTTTTTATAAGGATATATGAGGTATCATTAATTACACAACATAATAAATAGGCATGTCCAACCATCCGTAGTATATGTTATGCAATGCACATGGAAAGGTGCAATAGAAGTAAAGATGCTTGCATTAGTGGCCTAAATAACTGTCTACTTACAAGGATGTCAGAGGAAGCAATATACATTGAACTGAATTCTAGATAGAGTTTTACAGCTTGACAATTATGATTTCATTTGGTTTTAGCTCTAGAGAGGAGCTTGCTTAATCACTTACTCTCAATAACAAGTGGTAATTCTTCCTGAATGGCTTGATAAGGAATGCTCAAAATACAAGCCATATGGTATTTCTTCAAGATGTATATGTTGTTTTTGGCAGAAATGTAGTATAGAATTTTTTGATAGTTTCTATAATTAGCTGGATACCTAGACAGTTTTTGTTGTTTGATGCTGGTTTATATTGATGTTCAAATGTATATTTTTTTGGATAGGACAAATGGATCTTCTTATTGCAAATTAAGGTCACCAATTAGGGTTGCTTGCTCTTTTATTGTAGTAACAATGTTAGTTAATATGGCATTTTCTGATTACCTTTGTTTTTCAATACAGTGACTGAAGTTCATGGAAGGACATTTGGAGTGTGGACGCTTTTGACGTGCACTCTCTGCTTTCTCTGTGCATTCAACCTTGACAATAGGCCCCTTTACACTGCCACTTTTCTTTCATTCGTCTATGCGCTGGGTCACTTCCTGAGTGAATACTTTATATACCATACAATGGCTATCACTAATTTGACCACTGTTAGCTTCTTTGCTGGTATCTTTCTTCCCTTTCTAGATTTAAATATTTATTGTTGATCACACTATATATTTGCATCCCTTATAAGATTCCAGTTCAAAAAATAATCTTGGATTCCAATCAGAATGGGATTTGATTAGATTCCTTCAGACTTGATTGATTTGGAGATTTTCTGCATGGAACCGACTGAGGTGGAAGTGGATGTGCTATTACATGAAAATTAGAACTTGTATTTTTGTATTTTTCTCTAGTTTGAGGGCCCATTTGTGCTAGAATTTGATGCCCAGGTAGCCTAGTAGTTGAACATGCTTTGATGGATACACCAGATATTTGTGAGACCTTTTCAAACGGCTGAAATCACAGTTGTTTAGGCTATTGTTGCAGCTGCCCTCCAGATAGGGAGGTAGAGTGGAAGGGATAAAAGGAAGCTACAACCCTTTCCTTTTTTTCGAGGATAAATACAATACACAATTTAACAAGTGGTGCACCATAACTAGATAACCCTTGACACTATGTTTAGTTCAGATGGAGCTATCAAACTTGCATGCTAAGAATTGATTCCGCAATGCCACTCGAGAATTCTTTGTTTGCTTCGTTTTATTTTTATGCAAATTGTTTCATTGACATGTGCTTGGACTGTTTCGCTAAATGAGTCAATTTTTGTGTGTTAACATTAATTGTTTCTTAATCAGGTACATCAATTATTTGGATGCTTACGCAGTGGGGTAGTTTTCAACATCATAGGATCTTGAAGCAAGATTGAGTTTCCTGCTTTCTGCTGGTATGCATTTATTTCTGCTGGCATATTGTGTTACTGATTATACAAGCTTCCTCTCTGGGCTGAACCGATATTTCCTGAGCAATCAATTGACTTTCAAGAGAAACTTATTAATAGGATTAGTAGAAATGTTCATTGTCAATCGTTTCAAGCAGTATTGAACCTACCAGTCCAGATCAAGAATCAACAATAAATGTGTAAATGTTTTTAAATAAGTAATTATCTTGTTATTGTCATGTTATTCAATAGAATGTATAATATTTATTAAATTAGAATGTATAAAAATTTAAATACAAATATTTATTTTTGTAATTGGTATGTCCATATATTATTTAACATAAAATGTATAATCACTATATTTATTATATTTACTAAAATATAATGAATATAGTGTATTAAAGTATTTATTATATTTATTAAGGGGATCGTCTTCAAAGAGACCATTTATCTTTTGTATATGGAGGTAACAATCATTCCCCCTCATTAGATGTCAAATTGGATCGCCTGGCGTGAGTCACGAATTCCGAGAATTTTTTTTTGGAACTTTGTGTTTATTCAATGACATTCTTACAACCACCCATTTTGAAATTTAAGGGACAAAAATGATTGTGACCTCCATGTATAAAAGATAAGTGGTGGTCTCTTTGTAGACAATTTTTTTTATAAATGAATAATGTATTGAGATATTTATTATATCTATTAAGATAGAATGTTCAAATAGTCTTGGGATTTCAGGCAAGGAGAGCGGTTGATACGTTCCTCAATTGCTGGAGTGGGCATAGCCAGCCGGATACTAACATGCCTGAAGCCCCATACTCGTATGTCAATCGGCTCAATGATTTGTCTCAACAATTTAACCAGTGGAATCAGTGTGATAATGAGGAAGAGCAATGTTGTCTTTTGTTTGATATTATGTTCCATTTTGGACGATGTATTCATATTGATGATAATTGTGTGTACAATTTTTACTGTAAAATGAATGTAATGGTCCACGTATTTCTGTAAAATAATGAATATTCATTATGCAATACCCCCATTCTTTTGGAAACCCCAAAAATATTTATAACAAATTTTTAGAAACTTTTTGAAGGCCAGATCGTCCCAAACAGGCCTATCCACCGATTTGGATCGTCGATCTGCCAATTTGGACCGCTTCCTTGGACAACCGATTTACTCGGCTGATCCAGGCTTTTAAACACTGGTTTCAAGTATGTAATTCTAGACAAGGCATTTAAATTACCCTCATGTTTTACTATTCTTTTATGTGCAGCTGCCACTGCACTACTGCTATCTTAATCAAGTATGTGGTAAACATAAAAGAGACTGTAACAGATTAACAGAAGGCTTGACTTTCAGATTTAACTCTCTCAAGATCTTATAGATGAATGTTTGCTTGTTTCAGGCTCTATTCTAAGTTATCATGTCATCAGTGATGCAACTTCCTCTCTTGATGTCCAGATTATGTATCATGGTGTTCCTTTTGTTATTGTTTTCTTTTTTGTGCTAGTTTAAGAAAGGTTGTATAATACAATGGACCTTAATTGCGCATTGTTATCTGAATTGTTACTGGCAGGGTAACCGTATTGAGATTTCCTTAGGGTCCCAAGTATATGTGATTCCAATTTTCAAGCTCAATGATTCCATATATACGACTTTGAATGAAATAACTCAGCTTATGATACACGTATGTACTTAAAACCTACTTTTGCAAATGAGACATTTGACAAGAGGATTTCTGGAATTTTAAGAGCCTAACCTCAATGTTTGCAGGAATGCAGTAGTCTTGAGCCTTCAGCCATAGATCTCCTGGGGTTTCTTAGATTGCTCTCGGTTTCCTGCAGCTTTCTTTTAGTAGATTAGCCTCAACAATAGATTAATCTAACATGGATCAGCTAGATTGGTCTATAGTAGAAATTGCATTTGGTTGACATGTCATAACTAACATTTAAATGAATTTGGGTTGGCGAGTTGTGGGTTTTGTTTGGTTGGACTAATTAAATATACATGATAGTATTTTGGGAAATTTATGTCGGGACTGGGAAGGATGCTACATTATTCATATTTTGGGGTATATTACTGTGAAGTCCATTTTTTCTAGTTTTTTCTGTTCCTATTTTACCCCGTTGGAACCCTAAACACAGGAGAAAAAAGAAAAAAGTTATTTGGAATGAAAGCCATCATTTTGGCCCCAAATTGTGCTTTAATTAATTTTATTTCCCTTGGTCTGTTGTTGGTATATTTTGTGGTGTTGTTTTAAGTATCCTACAAAAATGTTATCAAGCCTAATAAATTGAAATGTACTTTTAACTTTATCTTCAAATAATTTACAGAAACAGTCGAAGTCACCAGAGCATCGAAATTAGGCCTTATTCAATCACTTTTCCCCCTCTCAACATCCCACCAAACACACTCCGATGGTCCCTCTCAAACACACACACACACTTTCACTCTCTCTCTCTCTCTCTCTCAGCAGTCTGGCCGGCCAACACCAGCTTGTCCAAGGGTTAGCCTTTGCACACCCATCAAAGTTAAGTTTCGTTCAGGCCTGGAAGGGTATTTTCCATGCACTTGGCTTCGAGGCTTTTAGGTTTCGAGAAAGGCTGCATTTTTTAGATCAAGAAGCAAGTGTTCTCTGGCTGCCCTTGAATTCATATATGTTCTGACCACTTTCCAACTCACTATTGTAGTTCACACGATTAGTAGCACTTAAATCTTAGATATTTTTTTGCAAAAGTTCTTTTATTTCTCTCCTTCCCTCTCTCTCTCTATTTCTCTTGGCAGCCCCACTTTCCTCCCTCTAACGTACATAGAGATGTGCATTTGGAATGAGAGAAAATGGGGAATCGATAGACAGTTTATTTTTGTGCCTTTTGGGAATTGAGCTTGGGCTTAAGTGGTTAATGGTTCACTTCACAAACATTACATCTTAAATTTAATTCCTTGGGTTGAACGGCCAAAAAGAAAGAAAGAAAAAAAAAAAAGAGTCTATTATATCAATTAATAATATTTGTCAACAGTAATTAACATGATGATAATCAATAATATCATCAATCATTTTCATTCTATTAATTATAATTCATAGCTATTATAATATTCCTAACTAAAATAATTATTAAAAATATCAAGAATATAATCGCAATATTTTACTAAACATTGTACTTATTACACAATTAATTGTAATTTTAGAATGTATTTTTATTAATGTGAACGTATATTAATAATGTATTTTTGGTCGACATTAGAAATGTGATGAGCATGTTTATATGAATAATAATAATAATAATTATACTTTGATAATTGTGAAAGTATGTTATTACATATAATATTATATAATATAGTAATAATATATACTATATATAATATAAGTATATAGTAATATTATGTATTACATATAATATGTAATCAATATATACTATTAATATAAATTATACCAATAAAATAAATATATAATATAATATAACATAATATTATAATATAATATAGTAATACTGTATTATAATATATCATATTGATAATATTAATACTATTTATTTTTATTTTTCTACAGTGAATAGTGATCAAACAAAAAAAAATTCTGAAATAGGAACTTAATCTTTTACTTTTTAACAAAGGAATGAGAATTTTTGTTGAACAATTAGTTTTTGAACTTTTCATGAAAAGTGTGAAGTAAACACAATTTTTTTAAAATTGAAGAATACTTTATGAAAG